GGGTGGACAACTAAACATTTTTCCGCAGTTCTAAATCCTGAACGTGTCAAGAAGCAATCCGCACATGGCTTTGCTGGGTGAGTTGTTGACTGTACAGTAGTCTTTATCTACAGTTGGACCAAGGCTGGACTCCAATAACTCAAATGTTGTAACATATATATCCTCAATATTTCCACAGTTGTTTTATTATAAAAACATTTTCAGTCCCAAAGGGACTTCCTGCCCACTGTACAATGAAAGCAAGATTTCCCCCAGGGCAGTATTTAACGACTTGGACTAAATATATATAATGCTGGAGATGGCGGTTACTTAGACAGGTCGCCTTATTTTTCTGTGCGTCTCAAACATAGGTGTCTATAAAATAACTTTGACTGAGCACTGAAATCTGTGTACAAAGCAGCATTACAAATTGTATGTTCAATGAATATGTACATATACCTCACAAATGTAACCTCCACACAAATGGTGGGCATTTAGCAAAAGTTCCATACTTCTGGTAAGTATTTACCAAAGTGAAGAACATGCACCACTGGAGTATACAGGGTATTTTTAGTATTACCCAGCAGAGCATAACCATATTTGCCCATTTAATTTACAGGTTCTGCTACCAGCATAGTAGTGCTGACCAAAGGCTGTGCTTTACTGCTCTTCCTCACAGTTTAAGCCTGTCGGGGCAATTCCATGAGCTGGTAAAGACCAATCTCTGTAATACATACTAAGCTAAACTTGGCAGTCATTAAAGCTGAACTCTAGACAAACAGCTAAATTCACACCTGTAATACATATATGTGAACATACTTGCATGCCCAAGGATAGATAGGTCTGTTCAACTAGTCATGTGATCCAGACCCATTGCCAGGAAACACAGCTGGCTCTTGTATTACCTTAGAGTGCAGGCAGGGCCAGATTGCGGGCTGCATACAAGTGATCTCTGCGACATCGCCGGGATTACTTGTAAAAAACAAGCGGCGGCTTCCCCGATGTACATTTAGCTCTGCTTGCCCAAAGCAGGGCTAAATGTAAAAAACAACTACCCGCCCGGCGCCCGCAACTGCATGTCCCAGACATCGGGAGATAACAATTCCACACCTCTGCTGCCCCTCTACTCCCTGCTGCCCCAAGGCAGGACAGGCCTTGGTTGGCCTTGTGGGAAATCTGGCCCTGAGTGCAGGGTACAGTACCTAAGCAATACAGCTGGGCATATGGCCCACCAAAACCTTTTATTAGACAATGAAAGAGAAACCACACATTGCCAAGTTCATCACTGTGCTCTTCCCTTCTCTTAGGAAGCAGCCAATGTTAGATGGACAGCACCATGGCTCAGGGTTATGCCCCTCCCTTTCCCAGTCATTTGTGCGGGGGATTACAGCAAGCGATTACCAAGACAGATTCAGCTGTATATAAAAAACACTTTTCCAGCTGTATGTAAAAAATGTAAAATATATTGACTGCATCTATAACTGTATTAAATAGTGGCTTGTCATAATTGCCAGGAGTTTTGTCCCATTGTCTATAATACTCAAATGGCCACTAGAGGGAGAACTTTAAATCTGTGTATCTGATACATTGATTAAAATAGGGAGCAGCAATCATATAAAACTGTGATTTGCACATCAGTAGTCACTGACAGATACACAAAATGTGAACTTTAAGAAAATAAGTTGAAATACCCACGCTCCCATTATTGACTGGCAGCCTTCACAAGAGTAAGTTTATTATCTATGTCAGATTACGCATACTCTCAGTAAGCTACAAGCCACAACCATTTACATTGCACAAGTCATTTGTCCACCCCTTTGGCAGTTTGGAAATAGCAGAGATTTGGATGGGGTAGCATCACCCACAGGGAAGGTAAACATTATTGGGCATACACAACACAGTCCGATGGGGACTCCTTACCCCTCCTCCCCCCCCCCCCATGTTATCTACTGTGTATCCTCAGGGCAGGAGGCACTGTTAGCAATGCACGTGGTGGCACTAGGACCTGGACTATATAGCTGCCACACTTTGAGATGGAGGTACAGGAAGCATGCAAAAATTCTGCTCCAAATTATAACTGGCATGAAAACAGCTGACAATTAGTATGGCAAAGATTGGCAAGGAATAATACATTTGCCTTAATACGACTATATTTAGGTTAAAGAGTATTACTATTGCCAAGATGTTCTGAATCAAGCTGTTAGAATGTAAGCAGTTGGAAGGTTTATATAAGAAACACTGATAAAATGTTCAATTCTTCCAGAATGCAATTACTCAAGGAACTTGCGGCTCTGTATTTTAGTCTAAGGGGTCTATTTATAAACAATTTTCAGAGCCTTTAACCCTGCAAATCTCTGTGACCGTTTGCTCTAGAATAGAGGCAACAATGAAACATGCAGTTTTCACTGAAGCTAGCATTGCTTAGGTATATGTTCATTATACGCTTGAAGATTTGCAGCACATTATGGCCACTAGGTGGAGCTGAGGAGCATAGGAATTTCCTATGCTCATTGGCTCCACCTAATGGCCATAAGACGCTATGAATCTCATTTGCATAGCTGTTCATTATGCAAAAGGTTTGTAAATTACTTCCTATGTGTCAATCATAATTATGCAGTAGTTGGAGATGACGCAAACGCAATATGGCTCCCACTGATTACCACTGATCTTGAAACAAGGTGAAAGCAAATTATTCTAAGTGTCAAGTTTAGGAGAGTAAGTCATTTGCATAGAAGCAGTTCTCTTTGGAAACTGAGAAAAAACTGCAATAGGATATATTTAGAGAGAAAGCTTTGTCACCATAGAAAATGGTTCAGTTTATAACAGAGGTAATCTCCAAAATATGTCCTGACACAGCAATTCTATGATACTGTATAGCGTAGTTTCCCAAATGTAGAGGAGGAAAAAATTAGGAACTGAAAAACACATTAACACATTGCAAAACTACTTCTCCTGCCCATTGTCACTGACAGACTTAATGGGGATTGAACGATGAAACACCTTCACAGGTGGTAATAGCAAAAGAAGCATGGTGAGGGGAGTATCAGAGAGACTTTAACACAGTGGAGTTGTAGGGCTACAGAGGTAAATATAGTTTTATACATACATAAATTACCAAGCAGTGTCATATATTATTTCATCTTAAATGTAAAAAAAAAAATTAAAAGACGAATCAAGCACAACCTTACAACATTGGGGAGACTTAAAGGAGACTATTCATAAACAATTCGCAGAGCCATTGGACCTTTGATTCTCTGTAAATGTTCGTTCTGTGCAAATGGATGCACAAAAATGGATGCACAAAAATGAACATTCTTGTGTATTTTCTTTATAAATCGAATGTATTTTTAAATTTGTTTCTTGTAATGCTGCATTATGGCCACTAGATGGCGCTGAGAAGCATTGGAAAGAAGTTCCATCACAGCTCCATCTAGTGGCCATAATGTAGTATTACAAGATCATAAGTACAAATAAGATTCCAGAAAAATAAGGAAAGAACATTCATCTTGTGCCTCCATTCGCACAGCACAAACATTGACAGCGATTCAAAGGGCCAATGGCTGTGTGAATTGTTTATACATAGACCCAAAAGTTTATCCAAATCCATTTTTATTTTTTTTGGAAAGAGTCAGGAAGGGTTAGAAGAACCATTGTCACCAGGCCTGAATGTGAGGGAAAATCCCACCAGAACACGAACAACTGATCCAGTGACAATTGTCTACAAAAGAATTTCCTCTCACCTCCTTCTGTTTCTCCAAGACAAAAAAAAATATGTAAAATCTGTCCAATGGAATATGGACAGCAAAAAAATGAGTGTGGTTTTAACCATTACTCAAAAAATAATAATAAAGGAATAGAAGGCTTGAAATACTTACTTTTCCTGGAGAAAATTCTGCCTTGGGTTTCCTTCAGTGTTGGCCACATGTCTAAAAAGCCTAGGTACCTGGCTAAGTGATCATTGTTGAAAAGGGAAGATCAGGGTTCATAATGGCTTATCCTTTCCTTCAACAGAGATCAAGTGCCTAGGCCTTGAGGCATGTGGCCAGCACTGGTAGAAACCTGGGGCAGCATTTTCTGCAGGAAAAGGAAGTGTTTAAGTCTTTCTATTACTGTTTATTTTATACAACACAAGGCTGTTTAGGTCCAATGATCTTGCAGCATCATCTGCTGCTTGAGTAAGAGCTGAGGAACATGCGGGAGCATAGTTGCCAAGTGTCCCTCTTTTTGCAACACAGTCCTTCTGTTCTGTAGATACTCCCATACCTCCCATATCTTGACAATGTCCCATCAGGCAGCACACAAGTGACTATTAGCAGGCTGCAAATGAAGCGCACCATTATTTATGCCTATCAAAGTGTCCTCTCAATTCTTCTAGAAAAATCTGATGACTACACAGGAGGAATTCTCCAAATATTCTTATGGACAATCCACTAAAGGCAGGTAACCTGGAAATGAGTTAGGTATACTTGAGCATTTCCATGTTACCTTCATTCTGATGGATTTACAATAGCACTATATGGAGCATTCACTTGAATTGGTGCCATAGGAAAAGTCGAGTGGCTGCTGTAATGTCTGGAAAGACCAAGTCGTGGATTTTGAATTGGACCACGCTCTCACTCCATCCAAAGCTGGAAAAAAATTGAGTGAAGTTCTTTTTTCAACCTGTTGATAAGCAACAGTATAATTTCCTTTAGCCATTGCACAGTTGATTGTCATGCCTGAGGAATTGAAGTAACTTTCATAAAAATGACTAATAAACTTGGAAAGTCTGGTTCCTTTTATATCAAGAGAGATCCTTGCTGAGGTCTGGTGACCTGAGGATGTATTGTTAGTATTTTTTACTTGGCATTGAACTGAGAAGGAAATTTTAGGAATGAAGTGTAATTTTGTGAATTGAGAGATGGCTGGATTCTCCTGCTTTGTCATTCACTAAGATCCATTGGGTCAAATCAGTGATATTTCCAGTTTGCGTGACAGCACGGTGGCTTTCTCCAGTCTCATCAACAAAGGTCCCATGTTCTTCACTGGAGTCTGGGCCAGTACTGGCTGAGATCTGGGTCTCCTCCTGGTACTTGTACAGGAACAGAAACTCCTGGAGAGATTAGACCTGAAGGAAGAAATAGCAATATCTGAATATACTGTATGTTGTCACGTGTCCAAGGCATACAAAAGTTCATGCTCTTATCTCATACAGCTGTTAGCTGAACCCTATCGTTTCCAGTATCCCTTATGAATCCGTGACTTAAAGGGGCACAGTCAGCTTGTTCATTCAGAGCCAAGGGGCAGTGTCTTTGTAAAGGGGCTACTAGCTTTATGTCTATGGTAAGTATCATGTTTACTAGCCATTCAGGATAGGTGTCAGCACTAGTGGTGCTGCAAAATGGCTGTGCCTCACTTTTCCTTTCACTGCAAGCCAATCAGTCAGGTATGACTGACTGAAAACAATGCACTTTATCTAGCTGAGATATCATTTCAGGGGTAAATGATCAGAGATGCTCTATGGTTGCAATGGAATACAAATAGCCACTAGAGAAAGAATATACTCATTCATATAAATGTATCTCAAGCCCCATGAAGTACATATCACTACATTTGTAATCATCAATTTTAAAATGTTAAAAAAAAGGGAGGGGGGGGGGGCAACCATTGCTGATGCTATTCTGTAAATCCTAATAGTCTGTCTTTTTCTACATTACTTTTTAAGTCAATCACTCAGAATAAGTATTCAACAGTAAAGTCATATGTTTTCATCCTACTTATGACAAGTTAGTCACTCAGCATGACAACCGCACAACTAGTAATTTCAGGGTGACACATTTCCTTTAAAGAGACGCTGTTACCTTGCCCAATCAGGCCAAAGCAACAGTGTCTGTGTAAAGCACCCCAACCCACTTATACTAAAGCATGTCATACACATACTAGATGTTCTCTCGTCAGCCCATGTTATGCCGGAGCATTTGACCTCCTCTAATGAGACAGTGCAGTGACATTCCAGTGACAGTGCATTGCATGCGACACTGTCCAGCAGTCAATTGATAGGCAGAGCACTGTCACATAAACCGTGGGGGTGATGTCATCACTCCTTCCAGGGCTTGTCAATGGTGATTTTAGTGCAGGCTGCAACAAAGGAAGGAGCTGTGATAAAGCGCTGGCAAGGTGAGTATCAGTGGGTTGGGTGGACCTTTTTGCAGAGATACTGTCACTTTGTCCTGAATGGACGAGGTGAAAGCGTCTTTTTAAACTGCAAAATAACTACAGCCTCAAAGAAATCCTGCCTCCAGAGTATTTATTTTTACAAAAGTCTTCCCACAAAACTATATCTGCATTTACTTTATTTTATTCATGTTATTTATCTAAGAAGTAGGGATGCACAGATACCAAGTACCGTACTCGGTACAAGTACACGTACAGATACTTTTCCAGCTTTAAGACTAGACATTCAGGACAGTTGTGGAGCACCAGGGCCCAGTCGCAGCTGCAAACGCTGCAACCCTGGTAGCATCTGAAAATGCCAAGTATCAGCACTGGTATCTGAGCTGGTATCTGTGCATCCCTACTAAGAAGGCCTCCCTTGTGTAGACATCCAAAAGCCGTGAGACTGCTTCTGGATGATGCATTTTTAATTGCCCCAGCAGACTCAGAGCGGTCACCCAAGTGACACTCTATCATATTTCCCCAGCAGCTACATAAAAAGTTACTCCTGTGACCCAAACTCCCAATACTTCTCCTTTAAGTTGGTGACATGGTCTTTTAAATCCACATACAAACGTGCACATTTCCTGGCCCTACTCAAACACACCATTATCATTTCTCAGTAAACCACACCCCCTTACAGCTTCAAAAATAGTGGTTTCCTACAATTTTCCAAGATACGTGCAGCATTTTAACTACTGTACAACATATTGACCTCTTAGTGATAGGAAATCATTGTGTTACAAATTAGGTATCTGACAACAAAAAGTTGTAAAGATTTGAATAATTTAATTTAAGTCAGTTGCTGCTGATCCCTGGGAGTTATTTCAAAGGACTTTACCTGTAGAACCCCCAGCGCTGGATCCCAGGCTCTGGTTATTCATGTGCGTCTGAAGCTGAGTAGGAGTATAGGCATCATAACTGCGGACTGAGGGACTTGGTGGTATCATACAAGAATAGGATGAGGTCTGGCTTGCCACTGGCTGGGATCATATAAAATGAAATAACAGTGTGAATAGCATATAAGTATCCACAGTAAGACAAAATATAGAACAGTTGGGAAAAGTTTTACAAGCTGGAGGATGTACATTGCAACTACATGTCCTAACTGACATTGTCTAGTAATTCGAAAGAGAAAGATGGAGGGAGAAAAAAAAGGACAAAATCCCAGGAGACATTTGTCTGAGTGTAATGTACTGAAATACAGGAGATCTTTCAAAAACAAGCTTTAGAGGGTATTGGGTTTATCATACTCACACAGAGAAGGTTACAGGAGATCCCATAGGGCAAATCAGGCAACCGTGAATAGGCTTCTGCGGAATATTTCTGTCCCCACGCAGGTGGTCACTCTCGATATTTGTCAGGGGTGTTGCTCGGATGAGCAGAGAAGCACAAAGTCCCAAAAAGGTGGATGTAGCAGAAGCACTCAGACATGATAGATGAAAAGGAGATCTTTTCATCTTTTTAAGGAGACTTTGTATGAAGGTTGCAACAATAAAACACTGTTTTATTGCTCTGCCCTTCATACAATAAAAACTGTTGATCACAAATATAAGATCTCCTTTTCACTTATCACATCTGGATGCTTTTGCTACATTCATATTTCTGGGGCTTTTGGACTCCCTAATGATCAAACTAGCACATGAGTGGCTGCCAAGTTCCAGTTTTTGCCTGAATGTTTGCTGGCATTTGTTCTGCACATCATTAGAACTTCTTAACTTTATGGTTGACACAGAGGCCAAATGCTGACAAATGTAGATTGTTAGGCTAAGATCCTAATTGGCCATCTCCAGGCAGTGAATAAGAAACTATAACCCTCAAGGTTACAGCTGGTTGTTCACCCTAGTTTTCATATCTGAGCTTTTTTAAGTTGTCCCCTCTTTGTAGGTGCTAAATTTCATCATCATACCTAGATAGTATTTGTATGAGTGCCCCATTAGACAATTAGGGCTTTACAATGAGCACATCTTACACTCACCTGCATGGGGAGGTTATTTGGCATGGTAAAGCTTGGTAGAGGTGGCAAGGAACCATAGCTGTTGGTTATAGCTGCTTCACTTCGGCTTAGCATAGATCCTGTGACAAACAAATTTGGAGATTCTTCATTAAACTTTCATCCCTGAAATTTTAAACAGGGACTTTTGAAAGGAGTTAAATTTACATACTGCATGCAACCAGGGAATTTAAAGGTTAATGAGAACCAACCAAACATAAAACTGTTTTTAGTCAAGTTTAACAACCATATAAATACAGAGACCCCTATGTTCTTTTGGACACTGCCCTCTTCCAGACTTTTAGCCAAGAGTAGCAACTCTGTCAGGAAGCAGGGGATGTTACCTCTACTCAGGGACCACGGAACACCTGGTGCCCGAGGTGCAGGTGCGCATGCGCAAGTCATGCGGCGTGGGCGCATGCGCAGTACGCAGGCTGCGCGCGCATTCCCGGGAGCAAAACTCATAGTAGGGTTTAGACTATGTCTTCCCCATAATTCCCTGTGTCCCATTTCTATCAATATACAGGTGAAACTCGAATAATTAGAATATCGTGCAAAAGTAATTGCAGTAAGTGCTGCAAAAGGGGCCCAAGCCAAGTACTGAGCACATATGCATGCTTGTACTTTTCAGAGGTCCGATATTGTTCTATGTACAATCCTTGTTACAGCAAGCGATCATTGTGCAGCGGCAGAACAAAGGTGAGAATCTGATAGGTTGGTACTTTAAATAAGGTCTGAGACAACCCTCTGTCACATTATGAAAGGGTTCTAAGTGCTTGCAGTACAGATTCTATTCCGCTCTTACAATTAGTGACTGTTGTCTACCTTCTCTTTCACACTTACCTGAGCTGCTGTGTTGCGGTATGGACTGGTAAAGACTGTTGGAGAAAGAACTGTTGATAGAAAGATGGCTGGACGTGCTGCTCGCCTGGCGCCTCTGGTTACGTAATTTTTCTTCTCGTCTCCATTTGGCTCGCCGGTTAGAGAACCAGACCTAAAAAAGAAAGTGGTCCTCTATACACTATACTGTAATAATAAAAATGTTGTGAAGGAAGAGTGAAGGGGTAGACAATATACTTGGTTCATCCAGTGATTAAGGTATTTAGAGTACCTTGGAAGTACCTCTCTATATTCTTTGGCTGCCTGTTGCTATGGCAACATTAGTAGACCAGGCTGAGGATGTGATAGGTGTGACAGGATAATCTGAAATTCAGCACCTCAGAACAAGAAGCCAACACAGACACACTTCTTTTTAGTATAGTTCAACCAGAAGGAGCACCAAACACATGTATCAAGAATAAAGAAGTATATTTTATTTCTTCCTGGAAATGGAAAAAGGATAACAAAGGGGCCCATCGCAGTCAGCCATAAAATATCCCTTCATTATCACGTAGTTATTAATACTGGCATCCTGCAAACTGGCTGTTCTTCCCAAAATCTTGTGATTACAGTCTGCTTAAGAGCACGTTTGAGTCCACTTGAATTCTGCCAATTTTATTAAATCTTGATATAGGGGCATTTTCTGTGCCACAAAACGTGTTGGTTTCCCTTTATTATCCTTTTTCCACTGTGAATTTGATAAAATACAGATCTGGACTCTCAATACATGTGTTTGGACGTTCCTGGCTAGGTGACCCCTAGCTCTGGGTGACCCCCTGCTATGTAGAGAGCTGCCAAAGTGAGGCCATTTAGATCTAAATAAAGAGTTTTTGCATAGAAAAATAATGAATTGTGTCCAGAGCCTGACTCCTACCTTGACTTGGACAGTTTTTTTTAGTGCTGGGCTTGTGGCACAGAACAAAAGTGAAAAATAAACTGCTCCTCCACATGCCCTGACTCAAACCTTCTTCTGCTTTGCGGTCTGTATCCCATCTGGAAAGATTTACCCTCTCTATCTGTATAACAGTGACGAGAAGAAAGTGATTAGAAATATAAAACTTTGCAGCTGTCACTGGAACAAGAACAGAGCGGAAATCTTCCAATACAGACACTTGTTCCGGTGTCAACTGTCTAGGATGATTCCTTTCACTTCCTGTTGTGTCAAAATCTCCCCAAGGCCCCATTCAGTTACATAGTTACATAGTTGCATAGTATTTGAGGTTGAATAAAGACACATGTCCATCAAGTTCAACCTATTGTGTTTATGTGTATGGTCCTACTGATGTGTGCGTATGTGTAGGTCCCTGTGTGTTCTCATTCTTAAGAGTACTTGTACTAGGGTTGCCACCGTTTCTTTCAATGAAACCCGAACACTCTAGCGACGCATAGAGATTTTTTGGGGAGAATGAGTTGCGGCTTATTCATATTTAAATAGCGCCGCCCATTCATATCTAAAGATTATTTTCAGTGGGGGGGCCAGTAGCCCCTATCTTAATTTTGGTTGCCCTTGTTTCCATGACATCATGTGTCCGGGTCTCTGCTGCCATGAAACCCGGACACAGCTTTCAAAACCCGGACTGTCCGGGTGAATCCCGTACAGGTGGCAACCCTAACTTGTACCCCTGTATATTATGGTCTCTGAGGAAATCTAGGAAACAAGGGGCAAGACAGAGCGCCTCCATAGTGTAAAAGTGTAATTTATTTGTACAACACGCAAATTAAAATGTACTTACAGGAAAGTCGGTGGTTAAAAGGATACAAATGGTGATGAAGTATAAAATCTCTAGCAGCGGAAGTCTGAAGCAGTACAGCACATCAACATCCTCTGCCCCCTTGAGTTCTAAAGGTCTATGCGTTTCAGGGGCACGCCCCCTTCATCAGAACCTCCTCTGATGAAGGCACGCCCCCTTCATCAGAACCTCCTCTGATGAAGAAGGTTCTGATGAAGGGGGCGTGCCCCTGAAACGCATAGATCTTTAGAACTCAAGGGGGCAGAGGACGCTGATGTGCTGTACTTCTTCAGACTTCCGCTGCTAGAGATTGTATACTTTATCACCATTTGTATGCTTTTAGCCACCGACTTTCCTGTAAGTACATTTTTATTTGCGCGTTGTACAGATAAATTACACTTTTACAATTTGGAGGCGCTCTGTTATTTCCCTTGTTTCCTAGATCGATGGTCTTTTTGACCAGTGAGAGCTGCCTTTTGAGTGTTTAAGCCAACTTTACAACCAGCCCATCTTGCAATCAGAGGCGCCGGTATTGTTTTTTTCGTTGTTCTGAGGAAATTGTCCAATCCCCTCTTGAATTATTCCACACCTGAGAGTTTTGTCACACGATTTCAGAAGCATGACAATGCTCAAGATGAAGATTCCTATATTCTCAATGGGTCCATTCACACCTTTGTGTCATTTAAACAGAAAATACAGTTCTCTGCCAGCACGGCTCCAATTTTGGGTGCAGGATCCTCCAGTGGTTCTCTTGGGGCAGGATCCTCCAGTAATTTGTTCTCCATATCAGATATACTCCAGAGTAAAAACCACCATAGTAGTTTTTTTGTGTCACATGTCTCCTACCACGTCAGTCTCAAAAAAGTAGATGAGCTTCATTTGGGTCAGAATTGTGCCTTTTTTTGCCCAATAGACTTTAATGAGAGCGTGTGAAAAATGCTTGAAAAGTGTGTTTACAAGTGTTTTTTAGGCACTATGTTTTAAAAGTCTCTGGGGGAAAAAATTTAAAATTATTTTTCTATACTTCAAATCACAGGTGAAAGATGCAAAAAACTTCACAAAAACCCTGTAAATTGCCTGGCTACGCTCATGCTTGGGTGTAAATGGGACCTAACAGGACATACATATTACAAAAAATGGGTGTTCCAACCTATGTTACTCTATCCAAATGAAAAAGATGGGTTACTGAGCACCATGGCTACCTAGTTACCCAGAACAATTGACCTAATTTTCATGCAGCCTATAGAAATCTGTATATGGCTTTGGCTCGAGTACTGCTTTAAAAAGGAACTAGTGGTTCCTGTTATGTAACAACTTTCCTTCCTCTTTACATTTTTATTGGTACATACAAAGTATATATAGATCATATATGGACAGTTTTCAGTTGACGAAGGTGCTCTCCGCACACCTTACAGCAATCCCGGCCAGTAAAAACGATGGTGCTTGTAGTAACTACCACGGATGGCACCGTGCAAAGTACAAAATGAAGAAACAGGTCACCAGCACTCAAATGATTTAAATAGATATGTCCTTTTTAATGGACAATTATGTCACAATAATCAACAAAGCCGACGTTTCAGGGCCGCGCAGGGTCCCTTCTTCAAGGCAGAAAGAAGGGACCCTGCGCGGCCCCGAAACGTCGGCTTTGTTGATTATTGTGACATAATTGTCCATTAAAAAGGACATATCTATTTAAATCATTTGAGTGCTGGTGACCTGTTTCTTCATATATGGACAGTGGCGACTCTAGGAACAATATATAGGAGGGGCACATAAGATACCACAGTCAAATCTGGGGGGGCACTAATAATTTTCATTGCATGTCGCAACCGATGGGCGCCAAGAGCTGATTAATTGCGGATGGCATCTGCGCCCTGCGGTTCCGACATGTAGTCCAACGCCGCCCACAATCCTAAATACCGCAACCGCCGACGCCATCCGCAGCTAAATCAGCTCTCAGCACCCAGTAGGTGCGGAATACAGCACAGGCTGACTGGCAACTTTTAGCCCAGGGGGCAAGTACAACCCAGAGGCCCATGGTGCAGCTAATTGGCCCTCCTCCCGCTCTGACTCGTCCCCCGCCTTCTCCCCGCCCCTGCCTGCAACTTTTGCCATCCATGTAACGGTAGTGTGAATGGTCGGGTCATGTGAGGACTCCTAGTAAGTCCATGAAAGGGGTGACTGGCTGGGGGATGGTGCTCTCCTCCCACAGGGCTCCCTACATGGTTCTGGCCTTACTCAGCTCTATGTCTGGTACATAGGCACTTTTGCCCACTGTAGACCGCCGCTGGCTGTCAGGCATGTTAGAGGGCACCCCGCTGGGGCCTCTTGAGGCCTCTTGAGGACCCCCTCGAGGAGCGAGCAGCTGCCCGGTTACAGAGCTGCATCTGTAGCGGTGCAGGTGGCAGAGGGAGCCACTGCACCTGTGGCCGGGGGGCTTCATTTAGCCGAGTCAGTCCACCCATGGATTCGCCACTCAGGGCCGGTGCAAGGATTTTTGTCTACACAGGCGAAGCTGGATCTTTGCGCCCCCTTCCCCCTTAGTTGGCTGCCTATGCCTATACATCCTTGCGCTAGCACTAGCCTGGACCACATTGCTAGGGTGTAAAATGGCCAAATTGCAACCCCCCTTACCTTTATCGCAGGGTTCTTCTCCCCAGAGGCTGCTTCTTTTTTTTTTAAGTTGTGCGGCTGTGCGTGGCTCCATACAGTCTGCAATTTTTTTTTAAATGCGTGTGTTCGCAGGAGCTGGGGCCTTTAATTTTATGGGGGATTTTTAATTTTAGTTTATTTCACTTTTTATTTTTTTAAACTTTTTTTGTTTTTTTTATATTAAACTTTATTTCTTTTATTTTTTTACATTTTTACTTTTTACTTATTTAACTTTATTTTTTAATTTTTACATTTATTTCACTTTTTTTTACATTTTTATTTATTTCACTTCATTGCTGGGAGCAATAGCCAGCCTGCTATTGGATATTTCAAATTGCAGTAGCCAAT